TTTTTTTTAACTGAATGAGAAGAAATGTAAGGCCAAATATCCTCACAAACAACGCTTAAGTGAAATCAGTTTGCAACTAAGCAGTTCGAAAATTTTGCAACACGTCTGGAGAAAGACGTTCCTCGTGACGCTGTAATTCACTAGAGTAAAACGTCCGTTTATTATGTTTGTTTTTGCATAATAACTGCTATACATACCGTAGAAGCACCTTCCTTTTTGTCATCGCCGCTGACAACATGCGCCATTCTCTGCGGCTTCGGCCGCATGCTTGGCCACAAGTCACCGAAATCGGGATACATAGCCTTATTTATGAATCAGTAGTAGGTAAACGTTGCAGAAGTGTATGTATATTGTTCATTGTCAATGCTGCTTAAACAACATGCCTAACATTAAGTCAACACTCGCCTGCATTTTCGTCTTTTCCGCTTCGCGTTGCGAATGATGTCTAGGCCTACACAAAACGAAAGTAAAATGTGCGCATGTCTAAATGTAAGGGAGATCACTCGTGTTTTCCCGCAGTATATGTCTGAAATCATTCCGAAGGTGTTGTTGTTTTTGTGTATATTGAAATAAAAGAGTCCTGTTATATGGTAATACTTCAATAAACGAAAAACACAAATCACACCAACAGACATATAAAATGTAGGCCTATCGGAGCATATTTTCGTTTCTGGCTGAGCTGTAATTAGCGAGAAGGCGATATAAAAATGCAATAGCATATCTTATGATGAAAATAGAACAAAATGATAATACTGCGAATGTAAAAAAAAGCCTTCAGGTTAGAATACCAATATGGAACTAAGGAAGGACAGTGGCTAGTACTAATATGATTTCCGGTCTCATCTGCCCCGGCCGGGCGATCCCATTTTAGTTAGCAAGCCTGGTGTGAATCACACGGAGGCGATTTTAGAATTAATTGACAGGATCCGTATCCATTAATAGGTTTGTAATATGAACTTTTTATGTTGATCTCCTACATAATTGTAAGTTATACTCCGCCTTATATTTCGTTAAATTATCAAGTTTACGTAACAAGTGCAAGCGAAATCCTAATTGACTGCCATGTTGGAAACTTCCTCAATCTTTCCGATATAGGTCAGACGTCTAAATATGGGTGTCATGACCAAATATGGAAATTGTAGTAAACATGACCGCATCAGTAGTAATACTATATTTGGCCGTGAAGGCCATATAAGGAAACGGATAACATCACGCGTGATCTAACATGGCCGTCGTTTCTGTTTTTAGAGTTTTTAGTAAGGATTTGTTATTTCAACGATGAACGAATATGCAATATTTTGATAACATTATAATCATATGAAGCGTGAATCATATATATTATTACTGATTAGCACTTTTGATTTTCCTCAGTTAGTTGGAACAGGACTGCTTCATAGCTCTGACCACGCAATATATAAATGTAAACAGGGACGTAAATGTCACCAATTTTAGCCAATCACAGGACAATATTTCCGTGTAAAGGGTTAATCCAGCGACAGTTCCAAGAGTAAATACGAAGTTTTAGAAGGATACTTAGTTCTAACTAAGAATAAGATTATATCTAATGACGTGTGAGTGAATTTGAGTCCGTGGTAATGGATTTTATTTGCAGTTTGTTTAGTATTACTGGTAGGTGACGTTATGTCTCGTTTATGAATATCTGAGCTCATTAACTGAAGTATTTTTACCGGAAGCTGCGTGTAGCATGCATGACCTACAGTCAAGTAGCAGTTCCCGATTGAGATAAACAGGGTGCATTTTCAATAAGAATACGAGGTTGTGATAAGATCATATTTTCTACAAAGGAAAGGAATGATATTTACAAGCCATTCAAGTGCATTTGAGTCCAAAGTTACGCATAATAAAGACAGTAGGTCCGGTATATGATTCAATTTAGTACCAGTGGGTACCGCTAGAGGCCGTCTGTGTGAAATCGACATTTATGAATATCTTGAGCTCATTAACTAAAGTAATACCAATAGCTGGCGGCTCACGCCTTAGCTAAAAATTGTGAACACGAGTCCACGAAACTTGTTAATCATTAACGTACTTGTATAATAATGAATTAAAAGTATATAATGAATGATTGATATAAAAAGTATACGGTTACTGAAGGTTCGACGTACCTGACCGTTGTAAAGTCAACATACTGTATAGAGTGGCGTGTGGTTACAAACAGCCTTCCTCATACATGTCCGTGTGCTGAATCAGTTAAGCTTTAATGATCATGTGTCGAGTATTAATCATATTATTTATAACCGGAATAAATACGTCATACGCGTGTTCATGAGTACGACAGCTTATCCGGGCAATTCTTTATGAACTAAAAGGAATGTCAAAATCGTACAAACGACGTAGAAAATCGTATGGACGAGATTAAGGGCCATAGGAACGAGATGCAGAGTCGGACGAACGAGGTGTAGAGTTGTACAATCGAGTTGAGGAGTCGTACATACGAGATGAAGAGTCGAGATGAAGAACTGTAAGAAAGTGATGAAGAATCGAGATGAAAAGTTTTACGAACGAGATGAGGAATCGAGATGAAGAGTTGTCCGAACGAGACGAAGAGTTGTAAGAACGAGATGAAGAGTTGTAAGAACGAGATTAAGAGTCGTACGAAAGAGATGAGGATTCGTACATACGAGATTAAGAGTCGTACGAAAGAGATGAAGAGTCGTACTTACGAGATGAAGAGTCGAGATGAACGAAACGAAGAGTCATACATAAGAGATGAAGAGTTGTACGAACGAGATGAAGAGTTGTAAGAACGAGTTAAAGGGTCGTACGATCGAGATATAAAGTCGTACGAACAAGATGAAAAATCGTAACTACGAGATAAAAATGCTTACGTTTATGTTTTTAGTTCTAAAAATGGCACGGGTAAGCTTTCGTAGCATTTTGAATTTTAAATTGTGGTTACAGACACATGGCGTCCTATTCGATCACAACATTGTGTTGAGATAAGATATGTTAGAAAAATATGTATTTCCCAACTGTTTCTTAGGGCAGCACATCTATGTTTCTCACGTGGGTGCCCAGAACAAATACACAAAAGACGATCAAGCCTTTTACGTATCTTTCAATGACGTCACCGTTTCTTTACAGGACAAAAACGCTAATTTGGTATTGACCTCGTTCAACAACAGCTGGAAAGACAAAGGTAAAGTATTCAAGCGTATAACAGAACGTCATCTATTTATCAATAACTAGATATTAAATTTCTTTCTTCGTCTGTTAGGTGTTCCATTGTCCAAAGAAATTGTCGCGACATGACAGTTTGCTCAGATTAATCGGATACTAGCTGAAACACATTGTAGTTATATTGTCGAATGGTGTTTTAATGACTTTTAAGGGTCCTCGCACGACAGTCAAAACTGTAACTATAGAAAAGAAACCGATTTTTCTGGCATGCCTATACCTTCGATACAAAAATGTTCTGAAAAGAAATCCATTACTTGCAGGACTTTCATAAAAAGAATACTAGAGAGGAAATAAAAAAACCAGAATGAACACTCGACCTCAAACTGTCATACAGTCGCTTACGTGGATGGTCAACGGAAGTGCATTGGCCCAATTGCGCTACAGTTATATCGCCCTGGTAAAATACTAGCCGCTTCCTAGCGTCTCGGCTAGGGAGATTTTTTCTTTAGCTCATTCGGTAGAGCGTAAGACTAGTACGCTGAAAGCCAGAGGCCACGGGTTCCACTCCTGGCGGAGGGATTGAAAAAAAATAATGACCTCTGTTACATAGGCGCCCACGTAGGGACCCGGGAGATTTGACAAAAATGCTAAGCGATACTTACAAAGGAATCTCTATGACCCCTGATACTCGGGACGAGTTCTTTCCTAGAGGGGGAGTATGTCACCCTGGTAAAATACTAGCCGCTTCCTACCGTCTCGGCTAGGGAGAATTTCTCTTAAGCTCATTCGGTAGAGCGTAAGACTAGTAAGCTAGAGGTCCCGGGTTCGACTCCTGGCGGAGACATTGAGAAACATAATGACCTCTGTTACATGTATAAACCACAGTGGAATTCTTAAGTGTTTTACAACATATAGGTAGGAATACTACACTTGCATCATACATGACCTTTGAAAACAATTATTTCCGTATAGTATTGCTGTCTTGTCCGCTAGTTGAGTTCGACATGGCACATGACGGCGTGCTATTGTTGTTATCTTCACAGCCTCACTTTCGAAACAACCACGTGACATATATAAATAGATCTGCGCTAAATTTACGCGGGGCTTCCCCAAGATTTCAGTGGTCAAAACTGGACATTGCAAGCAGAACTCGACCGTGGTATAACTTTTGGAAGGCCAGAGAACGCATTAAGGCCCATTTATTTTGTATTTTTTCCCCGACCAGCCCCTTTAATGTTGAATACGACACCCGTCACAATAAGGTATAATACATCTACAATATACATAAGATTAATTCCTATTGATAATTCAGACTGCCGTATTTTTTCATTGTGTTTCTTTAGTAAATATTGATACATGGAAACACATGTTGGAATCACGATACAATTAGCATATTGAAGGAGCCACCAAAGTTCTCTATTTATATAAAAATCATCAAAAATACTCGAAAGAAGGATGTATGTAATTAGAAAAATAGAGACAACTTAATTCATTTCTTATGCACCATATGGCCATTTCGCCAATTAAAGACCCGCCAATGGTACATTTGTATTAATTATCAAAAGAATTACAAATGTAAAAATATAATACAACACCCTTTCCCCCACAACCACTGCAGGTTTCCTCACTCACGACACATTGATAAACCTGCTACATTGTAGGTATTTGTAAGCATTTTTGGCTACCATTTAGTGGGTAACACGGAGGTGCGGTAGTCTAGTGGTAGGACGCTGGGCTCGTGACCGAAGGGTTGCGGGTTTGTGCCACGGCACGGCACTGTGTTGTATCTTTGAGCAAGATACTTTACTTGTTCCAGTCTACTCAGCTGTAAATGAGTACGTGGTTGGGCAGTGCTAGAATTGTTGAATGCTAGCTGTGAGCGCCGAAATGGCAGCACCGGCTGTATGCTCCCCAGGGAGCTGAGAAAGATATTGGCTGGTTGCAAAGGCCCAATAACCACAAATAATCATTTGTGAACCGCTTTAAGACGACTTTCGAACTAGGTTGTGATAAATGAGGTTGGTTCAACCCCCGAGGCCAGGGGGGCGGGGCCCTGGAGGGGAACTTAGCTAAATTTGCTTTGAAACACATCTCCTCCTAAACGCTAGACGATTTTAACCAAATTTGCTCTGAAACTTCATTGGGGGTGGCAATCAATTTCTAAATAATTGAGACTGGTTCGACCACTGGGGCTAGGAAGGCAGGGCCCAAAAGGGGAAAATTATGTCTGAAGCAGCAAAAGGGGAGGGCAATCATTTCCTAAATAAATGAGGTTGGTTCGACCCCTGAGGCCAGGGGGGCGGGGCCCTGAAGGGGAACTTAGCTAAAATTTTGCTTTAAAACGCATCCCCTCCTAAAAACCAGAGACGATTTTAACCAAATTTGCTCTGAAACTTCATTGGGGGAGGGCAATCATTTCCTAAATAAATGAGGCTGGTTCGACCCCTACGGCTAGGAAGACCGGGCCCCAAAGAGGAAAATTATCTAATATTTTGCTTTAAGACGCTTATACCCCCATATTGCCTGAGTGGATTGTACTAAATTTGATCAAAAACATTATTTAGGAAGAACAAACATTTCTTAATTGAATGAGGATGATTTGACCTCTGCGGTCCTAAGAAATGGTACAGCTAGATTATCATATTCTATGGTGTAGCTTTCATAAATTTAAAACAAATGGTTTCTAGGTTAAAAAAGCTTATAGTTGAATGAAAATTAAAGTATTGTCTCATTACACCCTGTAATATGACATATAACTTATTTCAAAATCTGTTAACATTGCAACTCAATTGAGGCCCCTGATTAGTTGAAAGTCAGATATTGTGGTCCCAGTTGGGTTAGAACATAGATCTTGTCTGGTTTTGAGGAAATTTCATATAAAGATGTACTAAAGCATCCAGGTGAGCGATACAGGTCCACCGGACCTCTTGTATTATAATTAGCTCACTGTGACCTGTATTGTTTGCGTTATTGACTTTAGTTAGACTCATTAGTTAGACTTTGTGTTAGCTCTATTTCTATCTCCAAAGGGTATATATATTTAATTAAAAAAAGTTCAAATGCTCTGAAGTATAAACACTCACTGTGTGCTTTTTGGGCCTTTGAATTACTTGTTAAATTGTTCATCAAAGACATTTCAGGTCAATTTGTCTTATGCCATAGCTCAATATATGACTCCAGGCTGTTGTTGGCAAACTCTTCAATGTTATAAAGAAGTGATTTTAAAACATGATATCGGATAGTCTGCTAAAGAGAAAAAAACTTGTAAAATGTGTTCATGCTTTTATATTGGTTTCAAGCTATTGTTTGCTTTGCTGATTTAGTAAACAGCTTGCATTGTTGACAGATATAAATATCTAAAGACACAATTGTTTTACTATATTTGACATGTCACATGTGTTGGATTACCACGGGCGTATATTTGTATGATGTTAAAATACAATATCCCTTTCTTCTTTTGAAGATGGTTGACATTGCTGCTGACTTATATACTTTGGTTGCTATATACAGTGTAATAGCACCATCACACACGGTATTAATACGTAACATGTGGTATATCACCTATTGTGAGTTACAGGGGAAATACAACAACGTAACAAATTCTCTTAGCAAGGGCAGAACACAAACTGTCTATTTGTACATGTTTGGTTTGGGCATAAGATGAACAGAATCTAGGTCCCAATCCGTTTTTTTAATATTTAAATCAGATTTGTGTGATGTGATATTTGTTTCTAACACAGTTGTTAACTAACCTGGCCCGAAGGGCCAAGTGAGCTTTTGCCGTGGGGTGGCGTCCGTCGTCCGTCCGTCCTTCCGTCGTCCTGCGTCAATATTTTACTTTAAAACTACTTCTTCTTAATAACCAAAAGGCATATGGTGATGCTATTTGGCCAGTAGCATGCTGGGACGAAGGGCTACCGAGTTTGTTAAAATAAATGATCTTCAATCATATTCAAGGTCACAGGAGTCAATTGTCTTAAAAATACACTTTAAACCACCTCTTCTATATAATCAAAAGGCCTAGGGTGATATAATTTCTCCAGAAGCAAACGCGGATGAAGGGCTACCAAGT